TTTAGCTGGTTCCGTATCGTGTCAGGATCTCAGAAGAGCCGCAGCGCCATCAAAATTTGGAGCGGGAAATGTGCCGCCAGTTAGTTGAGACATAGCAAGCTAAACACGCTCCCCGAAACGAACTTATCAACGCTTCGACGTTGATCACTTCGTTTCGGGATGCGCCACGTCTTCTACTTACATTGGAGTCGCGGTGTCGTTTTAAATGCGATCTGGCCAATACTGATTTGTGGGGCTGCCGATGTACAAGTCTGCAATTTAGCATTCCACGCAACGATGAACGACAACTACAAGTATAGTTATTTTAGTTAGCTCGCTGACTAACTGAGCTTTCCTTGTAAGCCCAAAAATCACATTCTGCAGCATGGAAGTGACTATGATGCTGAGAATACATTTCGTCCTTGCAAGGATGTGAAGGTGATTTTTCCTACCTCTGTCGTGACCTATATTTTTCTCCCTCACAATATAAAAGATGTAGCCTGCTGCCCTGATCAGCCTTCTTGGAGTTGCACCGCGCACTCTACTTTCCCTCAGAATCGCAGCAATATTTTGTGGACAAGTTGGATTATACAATGACATGTGGGGTCAGCCAATGTACAGCTAGGCATTATCTCCGGGGTAAACCTGACACCAATAAACCGATTCCGAAAATGGGAGGCGTGGTCGGTCTGAACGTCGTACATACATGCATGATTTGGTCGCTCCCTCCCTGGCCCGTGCGCTTGGTAAGCGGCGCAACTTGCCGCTATACCTCTCCCTCCCCGTACCTAATGGTAGTAATAAAATGTACTTGTAAAAGGTAATTAACGCAGCGCCGCTATTTTGCAACTTCCTGTGCAATAACGACCACGACTCATTTGTTATTGAAAGGGCGTTCATTTCATTTGTACATTTCCGAACTTTGACAAAAAAATCCAGACTGTGTCTGATGTTTTTTTTTTCCAGCAGGAACGCGACATCAACGAGCTTTTTAATGCGAAGTGAACGCCATTTGCTCTTGTACGTTCAACGACTATTTAAAGAGTACCGCACCACAAGCTTGTCAGATGTTCTCGTCACGAATTCCTACAAACCATTCCTGTGCCGAGTTATTCACTTCGTCCTTATAATCACCAGACCATTTTTCCGTAAGGGAGAATGCCACGTTTTGTTTTCATCTGTTTCTTTTTCATGAAACTCGGCGCTGATAATTGATAATTATCACAGATGATGAATTTCGAAAATATCATCACTTTAACACGTTGACGACCGCGCTCGTTTTCGCTGTCTGGCGTGTGGGACCGCGCGCATTATTTTGACCGCGCGAGTGTGACATCATGTCACACGGTCCCACGAGAACACCTTTTTTTGGTGAACTGTTATTTGTTATCTTTCTTGTGTGGTAAGTCTCGGAGATTGCGATTCTTGACCATTTCAGCGATTCCTGCGATTTGAGAGCGCGTAGAAAGGGCCAAAGCTAACGTGCGATTGAGAGGGTACCCTCCTAGATCACTTACTGGTCCCTGTATCTTGAGCTTATAGAATGATCGTTGGATTGCAATCGGACCTACATGTCGAAAACCACTCACAGACTCGAGGATTTGCGGGAAAGGAGGAACGGAGGCAAAGGAAAACGTTCCCAGACAACGCAAGCTGCTACATCAACTT